CTCTAAGCCTACGAGCAATTATTGAACAGCTGATCACATTGGTAAAGAGAAGAGAGGAAGAGGAAAGAGAAGCAGAAAACAGGGGAGCTGGCGTCTACCTCTGTTAAGGGATGGAAATGGATTTAAAAAAAAGATTTATATGAAATTCCTCATAAGGTAATGCTTCAGGAGAAGTTGCGGGATTGATGAAGTGCTGAGGCCTTGCTCTCATTCTGTCCCCTTATTTATTTCTGACTCAGCCTGGCCTTCTGTTTGTTATTTCAGATTTTTTGCCGAAGCAGGTTCAAATTCTTCTCTTTCTCTCCCCGTTCTCTCTGAAGCCTATCCCACTCATCACCCGTTTTCCAGCGGGAGGGAGAGATGCGTGTAAATATTTACGGATCTCCGGGAGGTTCGCCGAGGCATTCTTAACTGCACTCGCAGACCCGAGCCAAAGCCCACGACTCCCAGACACATGCTGTGTGTTTGTCTAGCGCTGGACCAAACGTGTTGTTATACACACACGCCCCTAGGAGCCCGGACAAGTTCCAGCAGGACGATTCAACACAATCCCTCCTACGCAAATCAGACCCGACAAATATTCGGAGCAAAGGTTCAGGGGGTTCGGCGGGTACGGCGGGGAATTGGAGGGCTGAAGAAAGGGGGTGAACTTTCGAAGCCAACTCTCAGAGAAGCCAGCTCCCGGCCGAACATCTATTTAGAAGCAAAACTTGGGATAAGGCTTGATGCGGAAGGCGAAACGTCGAGCTCGGGTTGCCAACTCCGGGATGGAAAATTCCTGGAGGTTCTGGAGGTGGAGCTTGTGGGAGGGCCAGTATGGGGAGGGGGGTGGATCTCAGCGAGGAATCCTGCCATAGAGTCCACTCCACCCTCCTAAGTGGTCATTTTGTCCAGGGGGACCGATATCTGAAATCTGGAGATCATTTTTACTTCTGGGAGTTCTCCAGGCCCCACCTGGAGGTTGGCAACACTAGGAGGGGGCCTAACCCTCCCTTCCATTCACCACCTTTCCCCACATATGCCCCAAAGAGCACTTCGGTCGGGGACACAACATCGCCTGGTGACCCCCAGGCCCCAGGGAGGCCAGGCTTGCTGCAATCAGGGCCAGGTCCTTTTCAGTGGCGGCTCCTACCTGGTGGAACGAGCTCCCGGAGGAGATTAGGGCCCTGCGGGACCTTCTACAGTTCCCGCAGGGCCTGCAAGATGGACCTCTTCCGCCAGGCTTTCGAGTAGGAGCCGCCACTACCACTACCATTACCACCATCGGTATACCAAGGGATGGCCCTATGAAGACCAAGCTGCGACCTCGCTGAGGATTGTCACCATCGGATCAGGACAAGTAACATCTATGGGTCTGTTAACCTCCTTAGGGCTATGTAATATTCTTGGGGTACTATCCTGTTAAAGTTAATAGATTGACACTATTGAGCACTTTACTTGTGATGTGATATTTTATTCTGTTTTTATGCTGTTTTATGTGAAGGCACTTGTTGCCCTATTGTAAGCTGCCCTGAGCCTGCTTGCGGGGAGGGCGGAGTAGAACTGTAATGATAAATAATTTTTTTAAAAAAATTCCTTTTTTAAAAACTGTCCTGGTATGTACACTTGGTCTGACCATTTGATGCTGATCTTTCACTACAGAGTGCTTAATTCTCCATGCACTGTGTACATTGATGTCTACAAATAGATTCTAGGTTTCTGTCTCCTCTATGGAGAGATTTTTGGTGCTTTATCCAGAATTTTCCAGTACATATAGATTCTGATACAACTTTAGCAAACTTTAGCAAACTGCTGCAGAGCAAAATTCTTAAGAAGACAGCTTTGAATTTGGTATTTTTCAGTCCATTGACTATCTGGTTTATTGATGTGATGTCTCTGGAAGAGGAAAAGCATTTTAACATTGGATTACAAAAATTAAATTATGGGGGAAGTCATGTCACTGAAAGGGGAGGGATGTGATTTGAACTCTAAGGTGGTTGTGAAGTCACAGGAAGGGGAGGGATTTGTTTTGACCTCTGGCCTGGAAGTGATGTCACAGGAAGGGAAGAGGTTGGATGTCTTGACCCTGACCCGAAGTGCCCAAGAGCTCTCTCAGACCCACCTGCCTCACAGGGTGTCTGTTGTGGGGAGGGGAAGGGAAAGGAGTTTGTAAGCCGCTCTGAGACTCCTTTGGGTAGTGAAGGGCAGGGTATAAATCCAATCTCCTCTTCTTCTTTCATAAATATTGGACTGAAGTACACGCTTTCTTACAGTCAGTCTTGAATATTACCATACCTTTTAAGCCAGAGATATTTCTGTTAAACTGTTTACCAGATGACTTAGATAAGAACCATAGATACTTTACTTTACATGCTATAACAGCAGCCAGAATTTCATTTACAACGACACGGAGAACATTGAAGATCCCAATGTTGTATGAGTCGATATTGAAGATTATGGAATGTGCTGAAATGGACAGATTGGTGTAGTGGTTAAGTGCGTGGACTCTAATCTGGGAGAACCGGGTTTGATTCCCCACTCCTCCACTTGCAGCTGCTGGATGACCTTGGGCAAGCCATAGTTCTCTCAGAGCTGTTCTCTCAAGGACAGTTCTGGAAAGAGCTCTCTCAGCCCCAC